AATTCAAAATTCACGCGCAAAAAATTTTACTGCGTGAGACGTTTGTCTTTGTTCGATGGAACTTGTTGGGCGCCGCGTAAATAAACAAACGACTATTCGCATATCTGACTTGTGTACATCGCGTTTTTCGCGAGAGATCAACGCTCGCTAGCATTGTCTCTATTGTGTCCCGCGTTAAGAAACTTTAACTCTAAGTGAAAAATTGAAACCTGAAAATTTTCTGACGATCGTGAAATTAATTTTACGGGCACTTTATTTAATCACGTTAGATCACTTTGCGCAGGTGCTGCACGATATCGAATTTTACTTAATAACGAAGCATGAACTCTACTTTTTAAAATGCAATCGCGATTCAAGCTTACGCGAGAGAGAAAATTGAAAAAATTAATGACTGACGGAAGATCTATGACGCAGATGATGTGATTGCGCATTTTCTGTGGCGCATTTTCGCGTTGGCGCACTGCTCGAGACACTTGGAAGATCGCATTCAACAAAATATAATAATTTTTCAAAATTTTGAATGTTCTGAGCGTATACTCAATACTTTAAGCTTCTACCAGATAGTGTTGGGGTTTGATTAATCAAAATTTCCTTCGACAAAAATCATCGATCAATCAATAATCTAAGTTAATCATTAATAAATATATATACATTGGGAGAAAAATGCTTGAAAATTTATTTGCCCAATTTATGTAAATTATGCATTATTACTAATAATATTATTTGGAAAAGCGATCTTCCAATTGTTTCGAGCAGTGTGATTTTCATTGGACGGCACGTACACATACTACAACTACAGCAAAGTAAATCGCATTGATTCGATAAGCATGCACTACTACGAGAGACATTTTATCTTTCTATTATCAATGTTTCTTGTTTTGACTCACCAAACCGCCGATCAGGGTAGCCACATTCTGCATTCGTTTCTGGAACAGAAAAATGCCATTTCGTCGATTAGATTCGTGCATTAGTTACGATTTGAGTGAAGAAGATTGAAGGATTAAAAAAAAGGAAAACGCGATATTTTTTACGCTGGAAGAATTCTTCGGAATACATTCACACTTGGAATATTCCACTATTCTTTTTCTCGACGTTGCAAATAAATCTCTTAATCAAAACAAATAAAAATTTTTCAAGTGGTGATGTTACTCAAAAATAATTTTTCCCGCGTGTAATAACGATTTAACGCGATCTTTGACTCGATTAAAATTATCTCGATTTCGACCAAAAGAAATATCAATCTCGTCGGATTTCTAATAATAAATACTAATTAATAAAGCTCACCTTCGAGCTAACCCCGCTCGGCCCGAGCCAGATCCTCCGGCGCAGCAGCCCCTAAGAGTCGGCTGGTCGTCTGCTTCGTCTCTGTAACAGAAAGCAAATTTAATTTATTATTACACACGACAATGGAGACATTAAAAAACTTGATTCTAAACAAGAGAATTTCCACTTTTATCGGATTTTTAATTACGAATTCAACTAAGTGAAACTCACCTTCGCGCCAACTCTGCCAGGCCCGAGCCGGATCCTCCAGCGCAGCATCTCCTTAGAGTCGAATGCTCGTTTCTGTAACAAAAAGCAAATTTAATTTAGTGTTAATTCGTTACATGACAATGGAGGCATTCAGGAACTCGATTCAAAGTAAGAAAATGTTTAGTTTTGTCGGATTTTTAATTACGAATACAAATCAATGAAGCTCACCTTCGAGCCGACTCAAACAGGCCCGAGCCGAATCCTTCGGCGCGGCATCCCCCAGTCATCGCATCCTCTAGAGCCGCGTGACTGCGTCTTCTCTATTAGATCTCTGTAACAGAAATTTAATTTAAGTTAGTATCAATTAGTAATTTAATAAATTAGTATTAACTAGTTACACACGACAGCAAGACGAAGAAAAGAAATTGTTGTAACGGCACGTTCGAGTTCCTTCTCAATGCGCAATAAAAAATAATTAAACGATAGCCGAATAAAGAAATAATAACACATGATTAATTAATAGATAATAATAATAATGTCTGATCGACAACCGCATAATAATATCCAGTAATATCAATTAATTACATACAGAATTGTTCGATAAAATCAATGCCGATCAAATATTATCATCATCCGTTTATTATTCCAGTATTATTAGTTTTTTATTCGGTTGTTATTTAACCATTTTTATTACATATTGAAAAGTAACTCAAGTTAAGTTGGTTCAACCTGAGTTGCTTCCCAATACGTAATAAAAATAGTTAAATGACAGCCGAATAAAGAACTAATAATACTCGAATAATATTTGATCGGCAGTAAGGAATTTGATCGTGACGTTTCTCTAACAAGTAAATGTAACAAGAAGTAAATGAAACGCAGTAATTACCTGCTGCGGTAAAGCCCGCAATACCTGTTCGTGTGATAAGTACGCGTCTCAACTCGTGTTAATTATCGGCTTGAATGTGCCGAAGTTAAAATGCGGTATTAAAAATCGGCGTAAAACAGTTTAGAAAATAACACGGCAGTTTCGCGACGCGCTCGCCTCGGCGGCTGATAGCGTTGTGGCGTGACTCCCAAGCACGTGCTCGCGCACGCGTGTTTACCTAACCGGCCGCGCGTCACCCCCCCCCCCCCCAACGCGCCGCTCAGTCATCGGCACGAGCTGGCACGAGCTAGCCCGTTACGACGATTTGTTTACTTAGTCTCTGTTGAGCCTAGAGTTTCTGTTAGAGCCGTTGCCCAGGTATTGTTATTACCGATTATTCGATCATCATTCTTTCGTTATTATCCACTCGCGGATATTATCACACGATTGTCGAGTAGATATTATTATCAATACCATTAAATATTCGAGTATTATTACTTCTTTATTCGATTATTATTTAATTTATTCGGTTATTATTTAATTATTATTATTACGCATAGGAAAGCATGCCGTTACGACAATTTCTTCAAAATTTTTCTGTTTGGAGCATCCACACTTTCGGCATGTGCAAGTTGCGGAATTTTTGGATTAGGTAAATATTACGTTAACTAACAGCTTGAGATTTAAATTAAAAATTTTTTGTTCGTTTTCGTCACATATCGAACAATGCTTCTATTAATTTTTGCACGCACTTTCATTGCATAAAAACATTTGTAATTCTGTGTAACCAATACGACGTAAACTTT